AGATGAAAGTGGTGTCACTTTGAGTATCGAGCAAAGCATACACCAACTTTTCATTCTCTGGTTCATCCACAGTGGATACATAAACTGGGATAACTGAGGAAGTACAACCTTTTGACTTTTGTTGCACAACTCTGTTGGATGTAACTTGGTTAGATACTTGCTCTTGTACTTCAGAAACCTCTGTTTCCTGGTTAGCCTTAAATTGTTGTTGGCTATTCTTTCTTTGTTCCTTGTCTCTTTTCTCTCTGTCTTGATGTAGACAAGTTGGGTGAGGCTTTTGGCATTTGTCACACACACTTCTGGAAGTGCAGTTCTTAGAGTTATGACCAGTCTTGAGGCAACCAAAACACAGTTTTTCAGACTGCACAAACTTTACTCTCTCTTCAACTGACTTGTCCATTATCTTGCGACATTTCTGAAGCGTGTGACCAGGTTTCTTACAAAAGAGACATGTGACATTTGTCCTTTCACTAGAGCTTGTACTAAGTGACTTAGCATTCAGCATGTAGTTTCTTTTGGGCTTGTCTTTGAATGCATGCTTGTCTTGTTCAGTTGGCTTTATTGCAGGCAGAGAAGTGATAGGATTACATGCAATTCTTGCTTCTTTATTCAGGAATTTGACAAAATGACTAAAATCTGGGAACATTCTGTGTTCATCTTGAAACTCTGTCACCATTCTGTTCCACCGTGCACTTAGCCAATCAGGCAGCTTTGCAGCTATCCTCTGATTTTCCACACAGTCATGCAAAACTTGTAAACCTTGAACATAAGGTATGGCTGACTCAACACTGCTTAGAAAATCTGCAAAGTCACGTAGATCTTTAGTGTCTTTGTTGTTAATTTTTGGCCATGACTGAATCTTGTCACGATATGATTTGCCTATCACAAAGGGATCTCCAAACCTGTCGTTGAGTATCTCCCAGGCAGCATGATAAGCGGTGTCTGTTCCAACCAGAAAGTGTCCTTCAATAGCCTTCTTCGCTGAACCTCCAACATACTTTCTCAGGAAGAATAGCTTTTCTTGAATTGGCAGATTCTTGCGGTCAACTAATGTTTGAAAAGACAACTTCCAGTCATTATACTGCAGTGGATCACCTGTGAAGACTGGAGGCTCTGGGATTGGGATTCTGTTTGCAGTGATAGCTTCAGCGAGCATCCTTACAAGATCAGT